CGCCCCGCCCCCGCGCCGCCCGCGCTCGCCGCCTCCCGGAGCTGCGTCCCGTCCTGTCCAGTCCCGTCCCCGGCGCGGCCCGGCCCGCGCGCTCTCTCCGGCCGCTCTCGCCGACCTCGGCTGCGCCATGGCCAGCCCGCGGCCGCCCGGCCCGGCCCCGCTGCTGCCGATGCTACTGCTCTTGGCGGCTGCCGCGCGCGCCCTGCCCGGCGCCGGCGGGACGTGCCCGGAGCGCGCGCTGGAGCGGCGCGAGGAGGAGGCGAACGTGGTGCTCACCGGCACGGTGGAGGAGATTCTCAACGTGGATCCGGTGCAGCACACGTACTCCTGCAAGGTGGGCCCCGCCGGGACCCCCGGACCCCGAGTCCCCCACCCCCTGGGAGCCTGGGCTGGGGGCCTCTCCCCCTGCAGATCCCGGCTCCGACCCCGGAGGCCCTCCCTTCGCGTTGTCGGCCACCCTGCTGGGACTCCCGCCCCAGGCCGTGGGAACGAGCCCCGGACGCTCCGCAGCCTCCGTTCCGGCTCCCTTGGCGACCGCCGAGCCCCCCGTGGGCGCCAGGTCCCGGAAAACTCGCGAGCGCCAGGGAAAGTTGCGGTGCCACTGCGGTCCCCCCCGCGGTGCCCAGGCCGGGAAGGCGGGGTCGTGTCCGCCCACGGCCCACTCCCTTATCGGAAACAAGTGCACCTCACTCCCGGGGGGGTGTGTGGCTACTGCACCCCTCCCGGCCAGCAGAAGGAAAGGAACAGAGCTGGGGAGGGGACGCTTTTTGCCCTGGCTGGGGACGGGGTCTGGGCCTGTGGTCACTGCGGCCCCTGCTCCCCAGAGGCCCTCAGCACGGTGAGAGGGGTGGTCAGTGGAGAGAAAGGCGCGCGCAGCCCGCTCTCCCCGTCCGGGGAGCCGGCGAGGGGTGCCGCAGTGGCGGGGTGGGGACAGGGGCAGAGAAGTGGGCGGGGCCGCCGCCCAGCCGCGCGCTTGGGGGCAGGGGCAGGTGCCCGTGCGGCTCCTGTGAGAACTGGGGCTCCTCCGGCCATGGGGGGCCACGGGGAGGGGGAGTGTGCCCTGCTCTTCCTTCAGTGGGGCGCGGGCGTCCCCTCGGGTAGGTGTGGTGGGCGCCTCTCACAGTCTTGTGGACAGGGCACAGGGCACCCAGAGCCCTCGACCTCCTCCGGCCCCCAGACCACCTCGGAGACCAGAAGTCGGATCATTCCTGCTCGGTGGAGATGGGGAGGGTGTCAGCTTCTCTCAGACTGGCCTGTGCGGGCTACAGCTGGGATCCCCCCGCCGGCCCCCTCCCCTCCCCTCTCCGACCGCCAGGGCACTTTGCCAAGTCCCTGCAGGATTTTCCCGACTTCCTCCCCGCCGCTCCTGGGTGTGGCTGGGGTGGGGGGAGGCGATGAAAGCCGCACGGCCTCCCCTTGCCTGGGTTGTCGCCCTTCTAGAGCCTGCTGTGGGGAGGTGGGGGTTGGACGAGGCTCTGCCTGGGACTGCGTGCTGCAGTCCTAAGGCTGGCAGTGGGGGCTGGGCAGGTGGACAGGCCACCCATTGTCTTTCACACCCCCATTCCAGAAGCCCTGTCCTCCAGGTCCCCCAGGTCTTCCCACCGGGACTTTTTCTCAGGCAGTGGGTAGGTCTGTGTCTCCTGGGGCCATGTGCCTGTGAGGGCTGCCCTGGCTGAGCTGTGGGTGTCCCCTAGGTTGGGTTCTGGGAGGTGCCCTGGGGGCCCAGGAGCCGAGAGGGTGGAGGGTGGGGCCGCCCTGCGCTGCCCAAACTTGATTTTGTGGTTCATGGGCTGCCTGGACTGCACAGACTGTAGCAGCCTGGCTGCAGGAGGGGGCTTTCGCTTCCTGGGGGGAGGGTGTCTGAGCCCACCCACAGGGTTGCAAGGAGCCCAGCTGGTCCCTTGCCCTGAACCCCCTTCTTGTGTGGTCACTGCTCCTGGGTTTGCCTGGTGGCCCCAGCAGTGGCCTGCAGACGGGGAGGGAGCATGGAGGGCAGGCACCTCCACTCTGTGCTGACATGGACCTTACTGGAGCTGAGGTGGCTGGGGTTGATGGGGGGGGATGGGAGCTGCTTCCTGGGGGAGGGTGTGTATTCACGGTCATGTCCAGTGAGCGCATGCCCCCCCGCAGCCTCCACCCAGGAAGCTGACCCAAAGATCGTGCATTTCTGCCCAAGGTTTGGGTCTACCGTGGACATTGGGCCTGAGTAACTGAGGCCAGAAGAGGTAGAAGACCCAGCACCCCAGGCTAACCCCACTCCCCAGTAGGAAGAGGGCCAATAACACCCATATCCACTCCAGGTTCGGGTCTGGCGGTACTTGAAGGGCAAAGACCTGGTGGCCCAGGAGAGCCTGCTGGACGGCGGCAACAAGGTGGTGATCAGCGGCTTCGGAGACCCCCTCATCTGTGACAACCAGGTGTCTACTGGGGACACCAGAATCTTCTTTGTGAACCCTGCGCCCCCATACCTGTGGCCAGCTCACAAGAATGAGCTGATGCTCAACTCCAGCCTCATGCGGATCACCCTGCGGAACCTGGAGGAGGTGGAGTTCTGTGTAGAAGGTGCGTGCTGCAGGGCAGGGCAGTGGCAGAGGGGCCACCGGTGTGGCAGAGGTGGGCGGGCTTGTAGGAGGTCACTGTGAGGGTAGCCCTGTTGTGCTCCAGTGGGGCTGGGGGAGGGGTGCCAAGGATCGTGCTGTGGGCTGGAGCAGGTGGTGTCTTGTGATCTGACCTCATTCCCTGCTTCCCGCTCCCTGGCTTCCCGGCTGTGTCCAGCCATCCTGAGGTCAGCAGCCCCAAGCTCTGGCAGTAGCCGTCTTGCATCTCAGGGCTGAAGCAAATCCCAGCGCTGCAAAGAGAAAGGCCTCCTCTTCCCCTCCTCCCAGCTCTGCACTCCCTCCTGGAGGCCCTTTCTGGGGGAGAAGCTGGGAGCCAGGTGAAGGAACACCAGCTGTTACGTTTCTGCAGAAACCCAAACATCTATCTTGACGGGCCCACGTGCTGGGCAAACCCCATGCGGCAGGGCAGAGATTGGAGGGTGGGGCCGCCCGAGTGTGTTCCAAGAGGCCTGTTGTTTCTGAGCAGAGCAGTTCTGTGGGGTGAGGGCACCTAGGGATTTAGGTGGGTGTGGGGTCCCCAAGAGAGGGGAAGAACATTTTCTTGCCTACCATTCCCATATGTCTATTGTGAATGGCCTGGGAGAGCC